GCCAGATCTCTCCAATTTCACAACATCAAAATGTTGTTCTCTGTCACCAGCTTCACTAATGTCACATTATCTTTAATTTATTCTTTTATATTTATATATTATATTAAAGTGGCTTCAAGTTTAAACTGGGATGCTGAAACAATTTTTCAAATCACATTTCAACAAATTTCTACTTCTTCTTTCACATGAATTCTTCCTAAGTGGACAAACAATATGGATAGAGAAAAACTGAGGAAGAAAGAGAATAATTTCCAAACACTGCATTCCATTTGAGAAAGGGGAGAAAAAAATAACAGCAAGGCAAAAAAGTCCCCACAAATATTAAATTCAGAGTGAGCTGAAGACAGACTGAAGTGCTTCCCTCAGGCAGATCAGCTGCACGCAGATGTAATTCACCTGTTCCGCCGTACCGTTGGTATCCTGAGCAAGATCTGAAAGGAAAACTAGGAAGCTAAGATATAAAATAGATCTATCACACTACAAAGGTTATCTCAAAAACCAGCTTCATATATTTCAGGGAACCAAAAAAACAAGTTTTTGCCATGTCACTGTATTTGCTATTTCTTTTTCTCCTGTCCAAACCCAAGCTCAATGGAAATGGACAATATTCAGCTCTGTTGATGGTCACAGTGACAACATTTGTGCCTTAAGAACTTACTGATTGGAGTTGTGGTCATCTGCTGATAAGCCGGAGAGCAAGAAGCACCCAGACACAAAGGAACCCATTGAAACGGGTGTAACTGTAAGTCTCTAATTATCCTTTCTAATTTTGGAGCCATGTGACAGGACTTCACACAGCACCACTGACCCCTGGTCAGCCTGAGTGCCATGTAGCTGGACCACACAGGGAGGGGATGCTTCTCTTTGCTTCTTCATTAAAATACTGCGTTCCATGCGTAGGGTAAGCTGTTTCTGGCTGACATGTGGCTCACTGATCAACAGGCAGGCAGAGCACCTGGGAGAATGTATTAGGCTGGTGCAAAAGTAATTGCAGTTTGCCATTGAAAGTAATGACAAAACCCTTAATTACGTTTGTGGCAACCTCATAGTCCGTCCAGATTTATTCCAGGATTTTAAGAGGCTTTTTCACCTTACACAGAGTGAGCTGCTTGATGTCACAAAGGTATTTAATACTTTTAAAGACAAATAGACAGGCACTCAAAAAAAAAAAAATGTTTTTCCCAGCTGGATACTAGAATATTATAGATTTGGAATATTTTCTTCTTTGACTTGAGTAGGGAGAGTAACAGGGATGAACAATGTCCCTCTGGCCACCAAAGGACGGCTGAGCCCAAGCCCGGAAGGCATTTCTGAGGGAAAGAACTAAGTGCTACAACACCCCAGTCAGCTTTCCCCACCTCTCTCACCTTTCTTTAAACGAGCAGTTCAGCCGAGAACAATGTCATCCTGTGTTCAGAAAAAAATCACTGTCCAATACTGCCACTGAAATAATCTTTAATGACAAAGTAAAGACAGATGTTGAAACAGAAAAGGATTTAAAAGGAAATCGAGGCAATACCAAAGCAAATACATTTTTGTTTTGCTGAAGATATCTGGTCTTGTTCTAGATCTACCATGAAATCATTATCACTTGGTCCAGTTCAGCACAGTCCAGGAAGAGCACGGGCTCTGGAGGCTGACTGCCTGTGTTTGAGGGCTGAGCATGCCACTCACCATCTGTGTGACCTTGAGCAACTTACTCAGCCTCTCTGCACCTCGGTTTCCTTATTTGGAAAATTAGAACACTAATAGTTCCTTTCTTCCTCCTAGCTCATGATGAGAACCAAACATCATGTGTTTACTAAATAAATAAAACCTATGGGCTACATATGACACACAATTATATTCAGAGACTAGTTAAAGCAATATTTTTTACAAGCTAACGACTAACACTTTATACATTAAAATCAATACTTAATCTCCTTGGTTCACGTCTCCCAAATATCAAGAAGGCGTGATCAGGGGAGAATATTCATTAGTCTTATTCCTTGCCTTTTGTGCCTTCCTCAGAGCTCACTTTATCCCATGTGCTCAGACCCCCACCTCTAGCAAGGAAGCAGGAAAGGCAGGTGAACACAGATGGAATGGAGGCATGGGCACTGCTTTTACTTATCACTTTTCTTTTGTAAATATATTAATACAATTGAAATTTTTTTTTTCCTTTAATTCTAACAGTTGGGCCCTCAGTGCTTGGCTGAAGGACAGGCTTAATACCTCAATGTCCACTTCCTTACCTCCGCAGAGGGATATTTCAACATAGATGAAATTTTAAAAGGCCAGCTCACTGATTGCTTTAAAAATATGTGGAAATACGTTTACTATTGACCTGGTAAATTTTCCCTCAAATTGAACGCATACACTGCCACCACCACCAACAACAAGCAGCTCTACATTGAGAACTTAGTTTCTTGAAAACAGATCATCTCACACTTCAGCTTTATCGACACATGGCATGAGAGAAATCAGATCAAAAGAAGAATAATAATATGAGAGAACCAACACCTAGCACAGTGAATGAATCTGGCCTAGGAGTCAGGTGACTTGAATTCTAGTACAGTATCTGTCACAAGACAGCCACGTGGCTTTGGGTAATATATCCCACCAAACTGGAATACAGATTCTATATTATTTAAAAAACTTTTTAAAAAAAAGCTATCTGAGGCCCATTCAAGTAGTAAAATGTCCTAATTCTCTAACCCAGAATACTAACACAATTCTTTTGTGGTTGCAGCTTCTCCAAACCACCAAGGAAGGCAGAAGGGGTAAAGAAAAATATGAATTTTCTAGTTTCCTTAAAATTTCTTAGGATCATTAAACCTGCCTTGAATAGAGGCATACATCAGAAAATAAAGCTTCCTCCACCTATAACCACGTATTATCATATGCCAACCTCAAATAACACAAAATGGGGGGTCCCGCCAAGCTTGTCTGTCCAAGCCACTGGCAGTGCTCAGCGCACGGTAGGATGACCACCGTCAGGAATTGTACAGGAGGAGTGCCCGGGCTCGGGGAGAGGTGAGCTGGCACGTCACCAAGGTGCTTGTCACTCAGCACTAGAATGTGGTCCTTTACTACTAGACAAGATCTCCTGGTTTGACAATGAAGGGACACAGCTGAAACTTTATCTCAACACGGCCTGAAGGATACCACTGTTTAAATCTGAGATGCTAAAACACTATAACCTACTCCAGTACTCTCTCCCAACTGTTTAACTCTGTCCATCCTCGTGACTGGCACCCATGCTGGCCCAAACGATGACAACCTCCCATTCTAAGTGCACAAGCCACACATTTAACAAACCTTTCACCCGATTCCTTCACTGATGTTCATCTCTTGGCTTCACTTACGACCACTCCCTGTGGCTTCTGCAGTGAAGCCTCTCCGCCCAAAACTCTTCAGTTCCCCAAACCACGTTTGGTCTGTAATATAAACAACTTCCACTCACCCTAGAAAACTGAGTTGGGATTTCCATGAAATTATCTGCAAACCTTTCCTACAGCATTTTATCGCAATTTGCAGTCCTCAGAGATGATGTTGAAAGGGGAGGACTAAAGGGGCACCCTCCGCCGAGGAGCACCCCCTTGCAGGGACGCTGTTTTCAGGGATGCTTCCTCCCCAGGACTCTTCCACTGACAGACATTCTGATCTCAGAGATACAGGAAGTCTAGATGTGGACTAACCAGGCAACCAGTTCATATGCACACATTTACCCAGGCTCTGCTTTGTACCATGTCCTGTGTGAGGTGCTTTAGTCTCTATGAACCCTTTAAATCTCACGGCCTCACAACACACTGGATCGTTAACCCCATTTCGTTAATAAATAAATCAACTTTCAGAGAAAATAAGTGGCTTGCTCAAGTAATTCAGACCAAAATCTTGTTTTGACACCTTGTTCTTTTTATTCTCACTGTGACCCAATAAGACAACCGATATCCACAATCCGTTTTCACAAGGAAATGCATCGCTACAGTGTCACAAGGTGCCAATCCTGAACTTGCTCATCCAATGAACTATTAACCTTCAAACTGGTTATAGAAAATGCTCAGCACAGGACAGACTGCCCAAAAAGAGAGGTGTATTGAAAACCTGTACTACTAGCTTTTTTTTTTTTTTTAAACAAAAAGCACTGGTATTATTTCATACAGCTTTAAACAGTTTTAAAATAGTTGATCACCATTTAACACCCCCCACCAGCTCCATACAAACACACACACACACACACACACACACACACACACACACACAAAAATATATCAAAACAAAATTCATAAAATTGTCACAGGTAGATAACCTGAGGATGACGAGCATGAAGAAATGAAATGTTGGGTAATCCATAAATAGATGTGGAATCCCCAGATGACAGGCAAGGTGCATACAATGTACAAAATGTGTCATTTTATCTCCCAGATAGACTAAAATCCTAAAGTAGAGAGAGAAAATAAATACGCAGCCTAGACCAAGATATCAGCTCTCTCAAGCATCTGTCTAATTGGATCCTTCCTTCAACATGTCTGGAACAGGAGGACAGAACAGGACCTCTCAGAGCAAAGGACTGGCAGAGACTTTGCTGACTGCATAGTCCACCACTTTAGTTTCCAGTGAAGGAATCTCTGAGCTAATCAAATAACCTTCTTGAAGTCATCAACCACCCTCAGTGCCAAACTAAAGCTACGATCTCTCAGTGTTCTTTTCACAGCACCACGTCGCTGCCATTGTCAGAGCTGATATCTCACTCATCATCCCCAAATATTTGTTTGGTATCCAATTTATAGTCATCCAGGAAATACCACAGACTAAAATGATCACAGTTTGCCAATCTGACAAACCACTAAGGTGTGTCCTTCCTACCCTAAAACTCAAATTACTTTTTACTCACATCATTGGCTTATATCCACAGAAATTGGCCAAATGATTTAAAAATATATTCCACACTCAGATTTCCCAAAGAAGAAATCCTACAAAAACCACCAGTATGAAATGTATGAGAATGGGACAAGTACCTTCCCCAGAAAGCAATCTCCGGGGTGCCTTTCGTGTAGATGGAGTCGTTGGCATCATTCAGCCCATTGGTGACCCCACTAGAATAGCCCATCACGATTCCACCATCTGCTGACACACTCAGGATATCCTGATGTCCTCCCCCTGATGTCCTCTCCAAGAACTGACCACCTTCTTTAATGCGCTGTTGTATCATTGGAGTGAGGGGCATTTCAAAGCTAAAATAGCTATCAGGCTCTGAGTATAACGTCTCCAGGGACTCCGCACTGTAGTATAAAGAAGTGTTGTCCAAAATGGTTTCAAACTGGGAGCTGTACACATCAGTGGAGTCCTCCGTATATCCAGGCCCAAGGATGTCTTCATCTTCCCCCTTAACGTGCTCCTCTTGTTCAGTGATCCTGGAAAGTAAATAAGAGTGAGGAATTCCAAGATTAGGTTAATGTCTTTATTTTTCCCCCTTCAATCATATAAAAAGGACAACATTCTGAAGATCTAACTCTTCTATTCATTGACTTATATCTTAACATATTTGGGAAGGAAGCTATGAAACATAATCAGGTTGAAAAAGTCTCACCATATATGTGGCTAGGACACTATAAATAATTTAATAAAGTTTCAAACTAGCTTCCTAATGTGTGAATACATCTGGTCCAATGAATATGTGAATAAAATATTCAATTCTCATTTTAGCCAACTATACCACGCACATTCAGATTATTTGCAACTACCAGCATTCCTAATTATAACAGAATCAGATATCATGTAAACTTGATACGGCAAAATTTCGGTAAAAATACACCAAACTTTCATCAGTTGATTAATACTTTCTGATTTAAATAAGGCCAAATGCTCTCAAGCAGATGACTACATCAGAAGCCAAGAGCTGCCCCCTGCTGACAACACAGCAGCACTGCAGAGAGATTTCAGGTCCAAAATTAGACAGCCAACGAACAGCCTAACAAAAGCCAACAGAAGCCAAGCCTAACCAAAGCCTTGAGATATTAGAAACAGCTCAAAAGTCAATAAACAAGGTGGGGCATTCACTTCGGCACACAAATGTGAACAATTAATATGCAGCATGTTCTTCAAATGTTAAAAATGAACATTAGGATAACTAAGTAAAAAAAACTTGGGAGATAGATAACTAGGAAGAGCAAGAGGTCAAGAGTTAGAAAAACCGGAAGCTGAACTTTGGCTATCTCAATTACCAGCTATATCACTTGAAGCAACTTTACTTAACCTCTCTGAGCCTCAGATTCCTACAAATAGGAATAAAATAGAAATAGGAATTATCTATTAAGCATCTCATAAGTAATCCACATTCAACATTGCAATTGGTTTGCTGTTTTTAAATACTGAAGATCAGCCATGGACTAAATGCTATGTTCTTAATGGCTTCCCACTGCATTTGGCATAAACTGGACCGTTCCTAAGATGATGCTCCTCTCCACCTCTCCACACTCACTGCACCCCATTCTCCCCTGCTCTTTTTTTTGAGATGCAGTCTAACTCTGTCACCCAGGCTGGGGTGTGTTGGTGCAATCTCAGCTCACTGCAGCTTCCGCCTCCCAGGTTCATGTGACTCTCCTGCCTCAGCCTCTCAAGCAGCTGGGATTACAGGCACGTAACACAACGCCTGGCTAAGTTTTGTATTTTTAGCAGAGACAGGGTTTCACCATGTTGGCCAGGCTGGTCTCGAACTCCCGACCTCGGGTGATCCACCCGCCTCGGCCTCCGAAAGTGCTGGGATTACAGGTGTGAGCCCCCATGCCCAGCCTCCCCTGCTCTTCAGGCATCAGCCACACAGGTTGAGTTTCAAATCTTCAAGCCTGGCACAGGCCTTGGCTTCACACATCTGCAGGAAGCACACACTAGTCAGGGAGCTCAGCAGCCTCCTGTGCACATGCTGTTCCCTCTGCCTGGAATATTCTTCCCACCCCTTCTCTGCCTGGCAAACTCATTCCTTCCTCACGTCTCAGTTTAATTTCCATTTCCACAGAAAAGCTTTGTCCAAGCCATCAACTGAACTGGCCTCTCCCCTCCATCCAAATTATTCTTTCTCGTAGGTCTCTGCTCTTTTCCTTCACAGAACCTAGCACACTTTGTGATCCTAGACCTATTAGCATGTTTATGTGATCAATGTTTATCTTCAGCGATAAATTCCATGAGGACAGTAACCGTGAGCCGCATCTATTTTGAACATTCTTTTATGCCCAGCATCTTGCAGTGTCAGGACATAGGAGACAACCGAAAAATATTTGTGGGAAGAAAAGAGGAATGAATTATTAATCTGAACAACAGTAAAAGTATATATTCCAGTGGGAATATAAACACTGGGCCACATGCCACATATCAAGGCCGCTTTGGAGGGAAGTCTGGAGAGCTGATGGGTTGGGGAGGGGAGTGGGAAGGATCCTGCCAGCGATCCCAAAGGAGCAACACTCTCAATGGGTTTGTTAACTGCAGAGGAAAAGGCATTTCCTTACACCGAACAAGAAAACAAGAAACAACCCTCGGCTTTGACACAGATGCTCTCCTGTATAAACTATAAAACATGGTGTCATGACGACTGACAGAAGAAAAGATGGTACCAATTAGAGGTACAGTACACAACAAATGACTACGATCGAAGGGAGTGGAGAAAGATGGGTCATGTCTGCCATTTATCCAGAGTCTAAGCTAGTGTAGATGTCAGAAATGCAGAGAAAGACCAGGAAATACCACATGACGCCAAGTTTCACTCAAAAAGGCCATAAATCTCATAAGTGGGAGTTAAACAATGAGAACATACGGGCACAGGGAGGAGAGTGTCACCCACCGGGCCCTGTCAGGGGGCTGGGGGGCAAGAGGAGGGATAGCATTAGGAGAAATACCTAATGTAGATGACGGGTTGATGGGTGCAGCAAACCACCATGGCACATGTATACCTATGTAACAAACCTGCACGTTCTGCACATGTAGCCCAGAACTTAAAGCATAATTAAAAAAAAAATAATAAAAGCCATAAATCAAAATATATGCTACTTGTGAGAAGAAGAAATTCCCATGTGAATACCAAGGATAAACTGAATTATAAAAACCACTTCTGAACCCCTGAGATGTCATTTCTAAACATAGGAAGCGGCCAACACAGTGGCTCACGCCTGTAATCCCACCATTTAGCGAGGCCAAGGTGGGAGGATCATTTCATGCCAGGAGTTTGAAACAGCCTGGGCAACACAGTGGGACCCCATCTCTACAAAGAAGACAACAGTTGGCCAGGCATGGAGGCGCACATCTGTACTCCCAGCTACTCAGAGGGCTGAGATGGGAGGATCTCTTGAGCCTGGAAGGTCAAGGCTGCAGTGAGCCGTAATCACACCACTGTACTCCAGCCGACAGAACGAGACCCTGTCTCTGTATAAATAAATAAACAAACAAACAAAGGAAATTGAGTGGACCCAGAACTTCTGTGTACATACATGTATGTAGGCTGGACTGAAGGCATTGGTGTTATACCCAGAAGAAATGCCAAGGTTGGAAGTACCAGCTACATAGGGTGTGTCAAAAGAGTCCAAACCTTTTCATATTACTAAAGATTACGGTGGGGTATGTTAGTTACCTTGATGTTGGAAAACTTGAAATCTGTCAAATGTCAAGAAAATGTCAGAAAAGAATTCACAGTGTAGTGTTCACAGTCTGTTCAGAACTCTGTTTCCCTGGTCCATGCCTAATGGATGACTTTATAACGAGATCACTTTAATATCGGAGAAGCTTAGGAGGAATCTTAGCTTAGAAGGACCTAGCTTATAGTAGCTCCTCTTATATTCTATGATAACAAGGACCCAACGTTTTGTGATTGAGTTCTCCTATCAAGCACAGGGTAACGGTTTTCTATGATAAGTACCAGGCATCTCAGACAGCTACTCTGGGAGCTCACCTTTCCTTGTCTCTCTCTGGTTCAGGTGTCTTCTCAAGACGCTGTTTGTTTTCCTTTAGGAAGACTTCATCCTCTCCACTCTCATCAAGACGCACAGGGGAAAATGTCCCCGAGCTAGTGCCAGGCCTCTCTGAAGGAGCTTTCCAGGACTCATCCCAAACATGGTCAGTTAAACGACTTGAATGACACAAACCAGCTGATGAGATGAGACGGCATGGCACTTTGGAAAACTCCTTGCTTTCAGGAGAGGCTGTTCTTTGCAGTGATGTCTCAGAATCTACAGGATGCTGGGTCTCTCTCTTATCTCCTCCTGTCCACAGTATCTCCACTCCTTGAAATTCCACGTGTTTGACCCGGCCTGGGCGTCCCATGGAGCTGCTTTGATCACATCCCCCTGGGTGCTCTCTCCCAAGAGCAGACCTCTGCTCTTTTAAGAAACCAACACTGCCTGCCGAGTGGCAGGTCACCGCTGAGCTCCCGAGGGAGGCCACAGGACAAGATGGCTCCGGCACACAGACAGCCCCCTTCCTCCCATTATTCATTATCTGGGAAAGCTCTGCCTGAGTGTCTCCAGTTAACAGCGCGGTCAGATCCTTCTGGATGCTCAAATAAAAACTTTCCTCCGTCGTTACTTCAGCTGAAAGAGGTATTTCTGGTGCTTTTTTTTGGCCAGCAGGGAGCAGTTTGTTGACTCTCTGTGTTTTATGACTGGCAGTGTCCAGCTCTTTTTCCACCTGCTGAACTGAAAAACGAGAAACAGCATCTTGGTCCAGTACCTTTGTAGCCTGTAATGTTCCGGAAATGATTCTGGCTTCTGTGGCTTTCAGAGCTGAAATCAAAGAGTCAATGGGCTGTAAACTTTGTTCCTTGAGGTGACTTTGAGAGGGGGCCTCTCTGACATCTTTTGGTCCTTCTGTAACACTGTCGAGCCCAGAGTGGCAGCCAGTAAGAGGCTGGACACCATGCTGCTCTTGCGGGTGGCATGGCAGAGTCTCACCATCAAACTCCAGAGAAGCCCTTAGGCCATCTCCACCTTCCTCCATGGTTCCATATTCTGGAAACTCATTTGTGACATTTGGTGGGAGTAAAGTGCTTCCTCCATGATCACCTGTGAAAAGAACACAATGGACGCATGATTTGTTGTAGAAAGACAGGGTCCAGGAGGTAACGATGCATATTCACACAGATTAGGCACTCAGTAATACTTATTCACTTGATTGCTGCATTATATCTGTCCTCCCACCACCCTGTAACACATACTTCTCATGACACTGCAGTGACCCCTTCTACTCAGCCTACATGAGTATAACCACAAAGCTTTCAGCATAGAGGGCAGTCTAATGACACCTGCCCTATTTAACTTTGCTTCTGGTGTCCCATACGTGAGGATTCAGTAACTCAGTTGCTTCATTTGCAAAAAGGGATTACAATGAGGATATGTACCACCTTCCAAATACCACTTATAAAACAGCAACTAAAATATTTACATTGGGCATAGCACTAAAGAGCCCTATGACCCAGCCAGCAATATCTGTGCAGTGCAGTCTCTGAGACAGCCTCTGCAAAACACTTAGCATCTATTTACACTCAGTCAGTATTTTTTTCTGCCAGAAGTCTGCCCTTCATTGTTGGGTTTCTGTGGAGGGAAAAAATGCTTTCAAAACATCCCTGAAAAATAAGAATGAAGCCAACATGGAATGAGAAACTTACTGCGCTGATCAAGATTTCCAGGATCCCAACTACAGAAAATTCATTGTTCTCATTTCATTTATTTTCTCAATTGACAATAGTTTGTTTATATATATACACATGTATGTTTATATATATAAACTTTATATATATATTATACAACATGAGTGTATATGTATGCATTTAATATATACATACACTTGTAGAGTAGCTAAATCAAGCTAATTAACAACAACATACCAGGACTTTACCTCAGATTTTTGGTGTGTAGTGAAAACACTTGAAACCTACTTACTCTTCTAGCAATTTTCAAGTTTACAATACATCGTTATTAACTATAGTCACCATGTTCTACAACAGACCTCCTGAATTTATTCCTCCTATCTATCTACA